GTGTATATGGCGTGTCGAAGTAATTATCCACGTCAGGACTCTCCGTTTCATGTCACCTGGTAGTAGAGACTTCCTTCAAAGTATGGCCAAGGACCTGGCCTGCAAGCACCTTGTCCTCACCCCCTATTTGCTCCAAGAAATGGTCTGCGAAATGACGCTCTTTGTTGTCAAAAAGCTCCTCGTCATCTTCGTCTATTGCTTCAGCACCTGACGTCTTGGAGTCATTATCATCCAGATCGTTCAAGTCGTCTTCTTCGGATTCATCGCCCGGATCCAGCACCTGGTAATTATCGTCACCATTCGCGTTGGCGTTGAGGCCATCAACATCATTTCTAGATAGGTCGATAACTAATACATACAAATACAACACAGTTCAGGTTAGTTAATAACGTGTATGTTGTATATACATCTCAACAAGCTAAACGTCCATTAAGCAGAATCCAGGGATGCATCGTCGTCTTTTGTTTTGCCTTGATTTGTAGATGGATCCCCACCTTAGACTCCTCGTTCAGATTTCCAGGCTCCGTACTGATCGAAAAAGATCTTGGAACGAAACTAGTCGGAATCACGGAAGAATGCTGTGTCACATCCGAGTCTGTATTATACAGCAAAGCAGAACATACAGCATAGCGATACAGAGTAACAACGTATCAATGTGGCGACTAGCCCCACGCAGGAAGTAACCCTGCTTCAGCGGCTGTAGCTGGCGACGTCCAAGCACCGCGGGCTGGTGACGTGCCCGATGGTAACCGTGGGGCAGGAGACTCATGAGCCGGAGACGTACGAGCCGACGATGCACGCGCTGGAGACACTCCTATGTTATACAGCTTAGAAACCCATGATATACCGCACAATGCATACATGTTAGTGTCAAGAAAGTGATGAAAGGTAGAGGAATGCGTGCCTCTGGCTTCGTTTCTCCAGTTCAAAGGAGTTACAAGGGTTTAGCTTTTTCTCGATCGAATGCTCGGCGGAAGTTTGTGGGCCACATTGGAATGATCTATATCCATTCGAGATGAATTTAAAATTGGTTTGACACATTATCCATTAAAACTGGAGTCTTAAGAAGTGTAATAAACTCCGATCGTACTCGACAAGACTTCCTAAAGTCCCCCCCCCCCACACACACACACACAGAATAGGTAACTCGTTGATAACTCCAAGCTCAAAACTTTTGGCCAGGTCCTAACACGGTACCTTTAGAATAAAACTGTCGTTAAGATTATCGTTGGAGGTATCCTAAGCGATTAGAGAATTCTAGGCAAAACCGTACCTCTGCAGAAAAGCTGGACACAAGATACCGGGAATTTAGAATCAGGCATTATAGACCCCATGTTTTTGAAAGGGAGGGCGAGAAA